AGACAGGCATAATGGCTTCTTGCAGATACCAATTTAAAAATATCTGTGGATTTTTTTTTTAACCCATCATCTTCACACAAAGAATTGCAAAAGATGTGGGCCTATTCTTGCTTTAAACATGGAAGTTTTCTGAGAGACATGTTGACTGAAATTGTCAAAAGAGTCTCCAAACTCAGACTAAGAATAAACTGCTTGTGCTACTTTTTAAATTTCTATACAAAGTAACAGGTATCGTCTACAGCGGAATTCTCATATGATCTCAGTGTGAGCACCAGTTCGGTCATTAGCTTCTACAAATATTAGTTATTTTTGTCTGTAAGTAGAGATTATATTCGCCTTGTCTAATTCAAATGCATATAATGACCAAGATTTAAAATGCAGACTATCTTACGTAAGCTATAAAGTTCTACAAAATATTATTGTGGTATCATTGCTGACCAGAGCTTGTGGCTATAGCTGTGTTAGGACTGAATTTTAGCATTGCATCAATTACCTTGTGCACAGATAAATGCAGGATTGATAAAAAATGGAAACACAGTTTCTTTGTGAAAATGTGAGCAGTCAGACCCGTCAGAGAGGAGGAAAGCATAACTTAGTTGCTGACTGAATTTTTAAAACAGGCAGAATTTATTAAGTTGAGGGAGAGTATAGCCTAGAGAACTCCTCTGGAGGGAAAGTGTGAGCTACAGGTGAGAAAACAGAGAAAGTATGAACAGAATGGTTAGGAGGGAAGTTCTTTGAATGAAGGGATGAGAATCCTGAAACTGATAAGAGGCAAATTTGTATGTCTTAAGTAGAGTTCACAACGTTTGGAGGAGAAGAGAGCCCCATAGTGCTTTATTGATCTAACCGCTCCTGGAGATAATTTTCTTTCACATTCCAATGAAACAGACCTTGGTTCTGACTTGCCAGGATCTCTGGTCCCGGATGAGCCCTTGAGCTGATTTCCGGGTTTTATTGTGTAGCCACAGTGCCCAGCATGGTGCTGTCAAGCCTGAAGGCTTCTGCCTGGGTCTGGACTAGCAAAAGTTTATTGCTACAGAAACTCAGATGCATGGGGACCAAAGTGAGGCCCAAACTTTACCTGTGCAATGACCATTTGTGTACCTCACTCTGAATTGTACCCCATACCTTTAAAGTAAAAAATTTTAAAAAGGAAAATCAGAGGGTGTGAATTTTCTTTTCTTTTTTTCTTTTTGGGTGTGGTTGCTATTATAGTATTGTTTTATTGGAGCCATTGAACCCAGGACCTTGATATACAACAGTGACATCTACCAAGTCCCAGTGAGACCCTACTTCCAACTTTTTGCAGGGAAGTCAGTCCATAGCTAGAAAAGCAGTATCAACAACCAGTACTTAGTTAAATTGATCACTTACAACGAGTGGAGGTTTATTTAATAAATACTAAGAGACTGACTCAATGAATGAGTTTATGATATGACTCTGGAACTGGCAAAATTGTAAAAATACAATTCCCTGATGAAGAAGTAATAAATAGGACTCATTACTTGAAGAGTGAAATGTTGCTTCTCTCAGAGGATTTAGACTTTTTAGTGGCATTTTTTAGCATCTATGGCCATATTAAATCCTATTTTTTTCCCTAATTTGTGCCATTTAGAAATGGTTTTCGTTTAACTTTTTTCCAGGGCTTATTTCTCTCCTTCAGAACATTTTCATATGATTCCCTGATAAAGTTCGTGCTGTAACTCATTTTCATTATAAAACTATAATAAGCACCAACTGAACAGCAACGTGAAATAGCCAGAGCATAAAAGACTGACAGGAGAAGAAATTGGGCATTTGCGTAGTTAATTTTTATTCTTGAATGCCTGGCTGTCGTTTTGCCTTTTGTGGGTACTTTTGGTCCTCTAGATAAGATTCCTTGCCCGGTGGACAAGAACTAAATTTAAGGAGACAATTTTCACAATTCTTAAAAGATAGCCTTTCCTTCCCACAACAAAATGGGAAGCAGTACCTTTCGATGATACAGCAATTTCTATTCTTCAACCAAACCCTATAATGGAAAGAAAAAGTTTTCATTTTTTTCTACCTCTTATTGTCCCTTGGGCTTTGTAAAATATCTTTTACTTGTTCCAAGGAGTGGGCCTGTTTTCTCTAGAGAACTAAGTGAGAGGCATTTAGCAATTTGGATTTCTCCGAAAATGAGTTTCAATTCAACAAGTACTTATTGACCCCCCAACCTTATATCCTGTGAAATACAGACATTGTGAAAAACATAGCCCTTCCTGTCTAAGACTCACAAAATTTTTTCCCAGTAGACACCTTAGCAAATGCTGATATTCCAAGTTTGACTTTGACTAAGACCAGAAGTATATATAGTTGTGGAGAAAACAAATTATGTTTTTCTGGACATACTTTCTCAGTATTATTTAAGGTACAAAGTAGACATACAGATTTTAGGACTAAGGTGATAAGAAGGGCCAAAGTCATAAGAGGCTAAGAGATACATGAAGAAGACAAGGTGATGATTTGTTCTGGTGTTTACTGCCCCAGCAACCTACAATGTGGCCCTTACAACACTGCTGCTCAGCCCTGGACATGTGCGCCCAGTTCTTATAAACTGGATGCAAGTCTGCTTAAAACTGGGACTGTGTCACTGAGTGCCAAAGAAATATCAGCTGGATCAGGGTAAAGCATTGTGTTGGCTGTGGAACTTACTTGGGCTTTGAAAGAAGGGTAAAGATTCATCCGCTAGAATGAACAGCATGAGCAGCTTTAAATGGTAGACATATTTTGGGGGGAAAAATAAAGTAATTCCATGAGACTGGAGAATCTTCTTTAAAAGATACTTTTAAAAATATTATTAGTCAAGTAGTTGGCTCTACATCTTCCTAGACAGACTTACTCCCAGTCTTTCCATAACCTGGCTTTGCAGTTAGCCATTCTGCCCCAGGTGCAGACCACTGGAGCATCAAGAATAAAAGCAAGAAACCAATATATGATCAGATGGCCATATGTTTATAGCAAAGGTACGTGCAACTATACAGTTTTTCATTTTCCATGTTACTTTGGGGCACTATATGGGAGGGAGAGTGAAATGTAAGATCTGCTTAGTATTGATAGCTTTAGGGGGAAAAAACGTTCAATTTTAGAGAAGATACCCCAACTATTTGCTCTTAGATTCATGCATGAAATGTAGAAAACATTACTTTTTAAAATAAGTTTTTCATCTGCCTCCTGTTTGTGCAAAGTACTTTGGCAGAGATACTACTCTCTTGCATTTCATATGAAGAACCAAAAAGCTTTGTTTAAAATTGATACATTAAAGAGTTTAGAGAATGAACCCCAAAATTCAGTGAAAGTGTCTTTATCACTGTGCAGTCAGATCAGCTAACCCATCGGCTGTCAGCAGCTCAATTTCCTCGTATCTGTTCCACTGGGGTCGTGTCTTTTCATTTTTGTAGATTCTTCTCTTGTATCTTCCATCCTATGAGATTTTGGGGAACGGACTTCTCTCAGATACAAGTTACCACCTCCATATTCTAATGTAGGAGCTGCTTCTGACCCTTTCATCTCGTTCTTGTCAGCATTCACAGCATGAAATGTGATTCCTTTATTACTTAATTCCTTACTTTCTTCACACCCATTCCCACTTCTATTTTCCCATCTCCTTTCATTTTGCCCTCACATTTTTGTTACTTTGTGGTTTCTTTTCTCCTTGTGAGTTCTACCTGAGAGAGCTAAGTAGAACCCCCCACTGCTGAAAATAGTTTCTGACATTATTTGTGATTCCTAAGAGGTAGTCTTGCAAATCACTTTTCTCATGTGATTTTCACCTCACGTGCTGACAGTGATCCAGCCTTGTTTTTTGATTATCCCATTACAAAGTGCTTTCCCTTGCTTTTAGTAAAAACTTGCAAGTAATGGTTCTGTTTGAATAGCACCGCCTAGTCTTCATTTACAATTTTATGGAATTAAAAAGGCAAGAGGAGGTAAAGGACTAGGACTTAAAGTATTCTTTAAAAGGATAAGCGTTAATTAACTGTATTGGTAATAGGTTGACCCACTCTTCCTCGACAGACATGCCTGTATTCTGTACTTGAGCCATCTTTGTGATCACACAGTGGAACAGTTTGTTTGCTTTGTTTTGTTTCTTACCTTGAGGAAGGGAGAGCAATGTGCCCCAGATGAGGAACAATGCAATTTAAATGCAGCCACAAAGAGGCAGACAAACTCAATTGGCTGCCCATTGGGATACAATTTCAGGAAAAAAAATCACTACAAACAAATGCATAGGAAGTAACCTAAGAACTCATTTGCTGTACTCATTTTTACCACAAAATTGTAAATATTCATAGTTAGCAATCATACAAAGGCACTAAGAGTTTAGCAGTATTTCCCTTTTGGGGTGTGTGTGTGTGTGTGTGTGTGTGTGTGTGTGTGTGTGTGTGTCTGTTTTAGCTATACTCTGAAAACATCCTACAAATAACTAAATTTATATGAAGCCACAATGCCCAGGAGTCTAAATGATTGCCTGTTAGCATTGATCATTTGGGGCATAAAAAGAAATTTCCGGTGCAAATAATGCCACTTTTCTTATGCATTGTAAGAACCCCTGATATTCAAGAATAATTTTTCTTATATGTATTTGTTTCAATTGACATATTAAAGTACATCTGAGAATACAATATACCATATAATTGAGAGCTGGACCATCTAATAGATGCTGTTGTGAGCTCTTTGAGGAAATGAAATGATAATGGAATTCCTATTCTTGGCACTAGGAAATGACTGTCCTTTGTTCTCCTCTGTGAAAGCGTACCATCATATTTTAGTTGATTTCCCCTGTATGCTTCTTTAGGCAAGTCAGTAAATTCAGAGAAGCCAAATATATCTTGCTTTTTGGGAATGTAATTTGGCTGTTTGGGCCAGAGTATAGCTTCTTGGGTTATGTTCAGCAGGCATTACTAAAAGATAGGCAATTTTTCTATAACTTGGATAGTACCACATGTTTTTCTTTTCTTTCCTGTTCTTGACAGGTGCACGAGGCTGTCCCATGCTACAGTGAGTGCAATCAGTATTCTTGGGTTGTAGAACACTGGTCTTCATGCAAAATCAACAATGAGCTGCGGTCCCTGCGCTGTGGAGGAGGAACACAATCTAGGAAAATCAGGTGTGTGAAAATGGAGAGATTTGGGAAATAGGGAGATGTGGAACTTATACATTTTTAATAAAAACAACAGTGTTGTTTATCCAAGTATACTCTGATTTTCTTGCCATACACTCTGGCTTTTGTTCATCTTTGAAATATTCATTGAAACATATGTATCCTGACCCGCCATATGTGTAGTGGGATTCCCTCTGCAGTGCAGACACAATCTTACTATTTCCTGGAAATGACTTCAGTGTGAGAACCAACTGCGTGGAGCAGGCAGATATTACTCCACTGATTTGTGGCCATCATGGTTAACAAATTAGGAGATTTTAACTGTGTTGCCATTTCCCTTTTTTGTACTATGGTTATAGTTGATGGGCATTTTCTTAATTTTGGATGTCAATGATTGAAAAGGTCAATTTTAACCCCCCACAGTTATCCTTGGAAACTAAATTCTGAGGATACTTATATGTAGTAGCAATACATTTTAATATAAAAAGAGCACATCTCTGAGTTAATGCTAGGTTATCTATTGAAAGAACCAGTTTAAAAATTTTTTTTTATAAATATAGCAGTGGTAACTAATGGAAACATGTGACTTGAATATGTCAAGATGATCCATTTAGAAATGATTGGGAAGGAAAAAGAATAATTTTCTTACCAACTGAAGATAATGGCAATTAATTTTAGAGATTAGACAAACAAAAGTTAAAATATTGTGACACAGTGATTACTGTGAAAAATCAAGAAGAAAACATAGTATAGTCAACTATACAATTGCATAAGCATAGTGTATCATTTTTCTAGACTTAGGAAGCTCTGTTTCAAATGGATAGTCAGCGCCTAAATCAGATAGCTATCTAGAGTTAACTGTTATATGAAAGTCAGTTGCCGGGCAGAGCCAACTTACATGTGTTGATTGTTATTCAACATCAGTGAAACTTGCTTTATTCGGTAATGCAGACTATACCCACCATTTCTGACTGTCTCAATGTTGCAAAGTCACTGGTAGACATGTTGGAAAAAAGCTGCTGACAAAATTATAAATTCTTTTTTTCTTTTTTCTTTGAGTCCGAGTCTTACTCTGTGGCCCAGGCTGGAGTGCAGTAATACAAGCACAGCTCACCCCCCTGACCTCCTGGGCTCAGGTGATACTTCTATCTCAGCCTAGGACTACAGGCATGTACCACCATGCCTAGCTAATTTTATTTTATTTTTGATCATTATTTTGTAGAGATGAAGTCTCACTATGTTGCTCAGGCTGGTCTCAAACTCTGGCCTTAAGGGATCATTCTGCCTCGGCCCCCCAAAGTACTGGGATTATTGGTGTGATCCATCACACCTGACCAATAAAGGTGATTTTTTTTTATCACCAACTCAAGCAAATGGCTGATAGACAAATTGTCTTTCTTTCTCTTTGTTCATTGTTCTTTCACCTGGGAACTAATGTATTCAGGCTGACATACATTTGGGACTTCTCCCTTTTTCTCTTCAAAACCTTTGTCTCCTGTCTGTTGTATCTTATTCTCTCATGGTTTTGAAAATGATTGACTAACCTAATTTATAAAGTAAATACTTATGTGGAATCGCTTACTCTTATTCCACTCAGGCCTCTTAGCAATAATAAAGGGAAGTCGGAGAGAAAAAGAATCTTTAAGTGAATAAATTGCTAGTGGCAACTGTGGAAGGTTGATTGAGGAAAGCACACTTAAACAAGAGGGACTTTCATCCATGACTCTCGACTCAAACTTCTCAGTCTGATATAATAAAAACAACACAACTACCAAGTGATTCCTCTATGATGGAATGAATTATGTCCTCCTCAAAATTCATGTATTGAAGTTCTAACCCTGAACACCTCACAGTGTAATCATATATGGAGACAGGATCTTTAAAGAGATAATTAAGGTAAAATGACTTCATCGGCATGGGTCATAATCCATTCTGAATGGTGCCCTTAAAAGAAGAGGAGGTTGGGGCACAGACGCATATAGAGTAAAGATCATGTGAAAACAGAGAGAAGATGAACAAGGAGAAAGTTTCAGAGAAAACAACCTGGGTGACACCTTGATCTTAGACTTGTAGCCTCTAGAACTGAGAAAATAAATTTCTGTTGTTTAAGCAACTCAGTCTGTGGTATTTTATCATGGTAGCTATCTCAGCCCATTCTCTATTACTGTCACAGAATACTTGAAAATGGGTAATTTATAAAGAAAATAAGTTATATTTGGCTTATGGTTTTGGAGGCTGGGAATTCCAAGAGTATGACAACAGCTTCTGGCAAGGGCTTTTGTATTGGGTTATAACATGGCAGAAAAGCAAAAGAGCAAGCGAGCACTTGAGAAAGAAACCACAAGAGTAAGCCAAACTCTCTTTTATAACAACCCATTCTCTCAAAAACTAACTCACTCCTGGGATAAGGGCATTAATCCATTAATAAAGGTTCTACCATTATGACCCAATCACTTCTTAAAGGCCCCATCTCTTAATATGGCTACATTGGCAGGTTAATTTTCAATGCATGAACTTCTGGGTGACACATTCAAACTGCAGCCTTGTTCCACAGACCCCAAATTTCATGTTCTTCTCACATGGTGGCAGATTCTGGTAGGGGCATTCATATTGCATCATAACATAGAGGAGGGGATCACGTGGAAAAATGACAAGAGTATGCATATGAGCTCAGGTCTCTTCTTATAGAGCCACCAGTCCCATCATGAGGGTTCTAATCTGATGGCCTTATCTAATCCTAATTACCTCCCGGTGATTCCATCTCCAATATATACATTTGGAGATTAATTTTCAAACACATGAAATTTGGGGAAACATGCAAACCATTGAAATAGCCCTACTGGGCCAAGCATGGTGGCTCACATCTGTAATCTCAGTACTTTTGGAGGCTGAAGCAGGAGGGTTGCTTGAGGATAGGAATCTGAGATCAGTCTGGACAGCATAATGAGACCCCACTTCTATTTTACTAAGCATTTAAAAGAGAAAAAAAAACCCTAGAAAATATACATACTCAGTATGTAACGTGTTATGTACATAATTGTTGCCAATAGCAAGTTCTGCTACTCATCTCTTGCCAGACAAAACTAACAAACACAAGATGTAGTTTAAGGAAAGGGACTTTATTTCAAGAACCAGAAGATAGGAAAATGGCCAGGTTCATACCTCAAAAAAATTTTTCAAATTAGCCGGGCGTGGTAGAGCATGCCTGTAATTCCGGCTACTTGGAAGGCTGAGGCGGAAGGATCACCGGAGCCCAGCAGATCGAGGCTGCGGTGGCCGGGAGCGGCCATTGCACTCCAGTCTGGGCAACAGAGTGAGACTCCAACTCAAAAAAAAAAAACTTTTTCCAAATTTTAGATGGATGCCAGGAATTTTAAAGGGAAAGAATGGAATGAGGAGTATTTGAGAGTGGCACAGTGAGCTGGTCTTGCTGCGATGGTTGTCTTAAATTGTTGCCTACCTGGAGAGCTGGCCAATACTACCCAATTGTAGCCAGGTTATAGATTTATTGCCTTAAGATGTCCTCTGAACAATGGAGAATTCTGTCATGGGGTGTCAATACTCTATTATTTTGAGGTCAATCTCTGGAACAGCCTCTGGAATTTCTCACGCAAGTACATGATGAAATTAGAAAGGATAAAAGATCAGTAAATTGTAAGCTAAGAGAGAAAAAGGCTTTAAGTTACTTCTTAAAAGTTGAAATGGAAATTCTAGGTCACACAATCACTTTAAAAGATGTGAAGCACGTCTTCCCAGGCACCTTGCAGTCTAAACCATTATTGACCTTAATAAGATCCTGATATAATAAATGAAACTATTTATCTGTTTGCTTTCTTAATACTTTCAAACTGGAGATCATCTTCTTAGTTCATCCATGGCTATGATAATTTATTAAAATAAAAAAATTATGAATATTTGTCTTGTAGGTTTCAGATACTGTATAGGTACAGGAAATGAAATAGTGAATACAAAAATTTCTGACCTCAAAGAAATTCTAATATAGTGTCATTGAATCAAATTGGATCTGTTTACTCATACTCAAAATCCAAACAACCAAGTATTAGATCTTTGGAGTGAGAAACTTTTATTGTGAGTAGACTGGGAAGGAAACTAGAAGAAGTGCTCAACTGTGCCTTCCCAAGCTGAGGACTGGATCAGGTTTTATAAGCATAGGGCAATGAGGTGTAATCTGATTGACTCTTAAAATGAAATGATGTCAGGAAGTGTGATCTGACTGAATCCTGCTAGGGCTCAATCTAATTGGATCCTGGATTCTGCCATGTGGTATCCACCTCTTAATTCAGTCCCCACTTCTCAGTCTGAACACTTTTGTTCTGTACGTGGTTGCACACTTATTTCATCTAGACATGCTCAGTTTCATAGCTTTCAACTTACAGGTTCATGGCAACTGAAAAACAACTTATAACTTTGTTGCATAAAAGTTGAGCCAGATGGGTCTGATGTAGTTATAATGGCAATAGAGCAAAAATAAATATATGAGTTAATATACAATGAAATGTCTTTGCTGTGAAATGCCACTAAGAAAGAAAATTGGGTTGGAGTGATCGGGGCTAGTATTTTGGAGAATATGATCAGCGAAATATTTGAGCAAAAACCTGAATAAAGTGAGAGAGTTTCAGGGGGAAGGTAACATATAAAGCAGGAACTTTCTTGGCTTGTTAGAACGATAACAAGCTGTCTCACATGACTAGTGCCAATACTTAAATTGGTCTTCCAAAGCAAGATAAGGACTTGTGGTATTATTCTAACTGCAACATGAAACCATGGAAAGTTTGAGATGGGAATGGCATGCTTTTGTTTACATTTGGAAAGGACCTTATTGGGTGTGGTATGGTGAAGGTACTTTGGTGTGTGGTATAGAACATCAGATATACAGATTTGAGGGCATTGCAGAATTCCAGATTGAGAGAGGTTCATGGTTGGATTGGGTTTAGTAAAAGTGAAGGTGGTAAGACAGCCAAATTTGGAGTATATTTTAAAAAATGAAGAATGCAGGATTTGCTGATAAAATGATTGCAGAGTGGGGAGAAAAAGAAGCATCAGAGATGACTGTTAGGTGATATGACCTAAGCATCATTAGGAATGATGGTTCCATTTGTTGAGCTGAAGAATATTAGAAGTACATTTGAGAGAAAAATCAAAAGTTAACTTTTGAACACATTAAATCTGAGATATTAGCTTTCCAACTAAAATAGTACAGTCTGGAGTTCAGGGGAGAGATTTGGAAAATAAAGTTGGGCATCTGAACTTTGTAATCTTGGTATATATTGATGAGAAATTGAGTCCTGAGGAGTTCCAACATTCATAGATTAGAGCCAAGAGAAAGATTCTACAAATGAGACTGAGAACAAACCAGCGAAATAGGAAGGAAACAAAGAAAACAACAAGATATAGTAATCCATTGCTTCAAATGTTTCTGAGTTTACCAAGATAAGAATTGACCATTGAATTTGGCAATGGGGAGTCTGTTGATAATCTTGATAAGAGGTTTCTCTGGAATGGTAATAAAAATGCTGCTAAAGTAAGTTCAAGTGGTAATAATGGGACACAGAGGAGGGAAGGAAGTGGAGACAGCAAATACAGACAATACCCTAGAGCCATTTTGCAATGAATTGAGTAGAAATGAAGTAATTAATGGCTGACTGGAGACGGGCAACTAAATTGACAATGCAGGATATGTAGCAAACAATTGCATTTTCATTTGGCAACACCCTCAATCTAAGTCTTTTTTAAGTCTTTACTCTTGGGCTTGTCAGAATCCCCAGAAAAGTCTTCTTAAATCATGTGTGAAATAGATAATTCTAGCAGCCAGTATTCTGGGAATCCGGTGAAAGAAGTCTGATGTGGTAGACAGTATCATGGCCCCCAAAGATGTCCACATCCTAATCCCTAGAATCTGTGACTATGTTGCTTTTGGCAAAACAGGCATTGCAGATGTGATTACAGTAAGGAGTCAGGGATGGGAATATTTTCCTGAATTGTCTGAGTGGGCACAGTGTATTCAAATGTAGACATGAATACACTTTTTTTTACAAGTAGAAGAGGAGATAAAAAAGACAAGAAGATATGACTACAGAAGACACCAATAAATACAATGCTGCTGTCTCTGTAGGGGGTTATCCAAAGAGTGCAGGTGTTGGCCTCCAGAACCTGGTAAAGGCAAGGAAAGAGATTCTCCCCTAGCAGAGCAGATCTACTGACACCTGACTCCTTGATGTTAGCCTGTGAGGCCCATTTTGGATTTCTGTCCTAAATTTGCATTTTGTAGGCCACTATGTTTGTGGTACTTTTTGCAGTATGCAAACTTTAACTTAAATCTCTGCTTTCAGGATGGTGTCCCTGTCCTTAAGAGCACCAGATGTTCTCTAGTTCAAAGACCCTTTTGTGACCCTTTCCAGATAGTAAACCTTCAATTACCTGCGGGGAGAGGGGAAAGACAATCACTTCGGTATGTGGTCAGGAGGAGGATATATGAGGGCCTGGGTACTTCTTAAATATACTTTCAATAATTCCTCTAGGTTATTAACCTCACCTTCATTCTTATTTCCATTTAGTGTAACCAATTCTGGAATTTTGTATGTGTTCTGTGGTGTACAGTTCTTTTTGTTGTTGCCTCTTGAAGGTTTAGTGTTCACCCTTTTCAGATGAGCTAAGGAGTTTCCAGGAGCCCATCTTTTTTTCCAGGTCTTGCGGTTGTCTTCTCTCATGTTCTCTGTCATTGTCGAGTAATGCCTTTCCTTCCTCATTATTATTAGTCCTATGATTATTTTGATAAAATATTTCTTTACTATTGCTTTTGCGGCATATTGAGAGTAAACAGGGGCTAGTACACATGTTCACTGGATATCATTCACCAGAAGTCTTACCTCTTCTTTCTCAGTGAAATAATAAATGGACATTAGCTAAGAGTGTGCAAGCAGGAAGAAAAGCGATTTCCAGTTTTTAAAGTTTGTCCAGGAAATGATATTCAAGCTATCCTGTAGATCCTCCTTCCACTGTTGACTTTTACCACAGGAGAAATTAAAGTCTGTAGCTAACTCTATGCCATGCCTCCCTATTTTAGCAGGCATCACTTGCACCCTCTCTATCTACCATTCTCTGCTAACCTCCTTTTATATGACATCCAGCTTTTCACTGACTCAGCAGCTCCTAATTCTTATTTTCTTTTCTTTTTTTTTGCCATCTGAGAGGCTGCTTTATAGTTTTCCTGAAGTTTTCTTTTTTATGTTTTTAATATGTGTATAAAAGACTCCTAAAGTACAGGATCATTTATTAGCATAGCATGACTGGGGGAGCACCAAAAACTCTCTAGCACACCATTCTTAAAATACTTACTCCTTGATCTTGACATTGTGTCTGAATTACCAGATCAGCAAATGGCACAATTTATCTCATCATCATTGCCATTTGCATCTTACCTTTATCACTATTACTAGAGCAAAATATTCATAACACTAGGGATCACATCTCTCTTTTTTCTTCAGTTCTGTATGCTGACACCTAGGAGAAGGCTTGGTACATACTAAATCTTCAAAAATATTTACTGAGTCATTAGCAAATAACAGCTTTGTATCCCAACTAGCAAAAAAATATTCACACATAGAAAGTCTTTATTATATATAAAAAAGAAAGTCTTTATTATATATTTTTTAAAATAATTGTGGCCAGGCACAGTGGCTCAAGCCTATAATCCCAGCACTTTGGGAGGCTGAGGTGGAAGGATTGCCTGAGCCCATGGGTTAGAGACCAGCCTGGGCAACTTCACAAGACCTCATCTCTACAATAAATCAAAAAATTAGCCAGGCATAATAGCGCATGCCTCTAGTTCTGGCTACTTGGAAGGCTGAGGCTGAAGGATAGTCTGAACCCAGCAGGTTGACGCTGGGGTGGCCGTGAGTGTGCCACTGCACTCCAACCTGGGCAATGGAGTGAGACTTCCACTCAAAAAAAATAAAAATTGTAACATAAACTTGTAACTGAGATATGATATAAATGCAGAGAAATGCCCACATCATAGGAGTATAGTTGAATGAATTTTTGCAATGTGAACACACTTGTGTAACCAGTCTAGAAGTCAAGAAACAAAATACTACTAGTATTACCTAAGCCTGTATTAATTTACCCATTTCCTGAAGGATACTGTGATTTCTGATACCACAGATCAGTATTGTCTGTTTATTTACATAATATGAATGGGATACAATATACAAGGGGGGACCAAAAAAAACCAAAATTATTTTTTGGAGAGCAGGCACCTTGTAGTACACTTAGAATTTGTTCCTCTGGATCAAACAATCAATCAAAGTTTTATCTGGAAGTTTTAAGAAGGTTGTATCACAATTTGCGGGAGAAATGTCCCAAGTTGTAGCAAACAGTTGACTGGTTCTTCCACCGTGACAACATACCTGCCCACACCATGCTGAGCGCCTGCCTATACCACACTGAGTGTTCAGTAGTTTTTGGCCAAAAACAGCCCCACCCTCCCTATTCAACTGATCTTGCCCCCAAATGACTTTTTTCTGTTTCCTCGGATGAAAAAAAGTCCTCAAAGGGAGACGTTTTGCTGATGTGGAAAAGATAAAACAAAAAATGGCAGAAGCACTAAGAGACATCAAATCGACAAGTTTAAAACTGTTTTGAGCAGTGGAAAAAGTGTCTTGATAGGGTATTGCATCAAACGGGTAGTACTTTGAGGTGACTGAAGTTTAAGCATGTAAGAATAAATATACAATTTTTAATAAATAAATTCCATTTTGCGGGGGTCCTCCTCGTATGTTCTTTTGTATCTAGTTTATTTTGTTCAACATTATATTTGTGCCTGTAACCCATGTTCTTTCATTCATTCTCACCACTTTATGGCATTTAATTTGATTCATTTACCAAAATGTATTTGTATAGTACTGTTGTTGAACATTTGAATTGTTTCAAGTTTAGTTCATTATAAATAGTGTGGATATGAACATTCTCAGTCAACTGTTGGTTTTGTTTTGGTACACACACACATGCACGCACACATATATACACAACATGTGTGTTTCTATGTAAATAGAAGTGGAATTATTGGGTTACATGGTATGTATATGCTTAACTTTAGAAGATACTGCCAGCCAGTTTTCAAAAGTTTATTCTCCAACCAGCAGAGTAAGAAGAATTATCATTGCTCTGCATTCTTGCCACGTTTTATTATTCATACTTTTAAAATTTAATCTATTATGGCAAGTATGTAGTGGTATAACATTTTGGTTTTAATTTTACTGGATCTTCTTCATCCTTAACAATAGAGAGGTTATCTCATTATCACCAGCATTTATCTCAAATCTTGACACAGAGTAGGCCAGTGTATACATCGGTACTGTGTTCAAATGCTGCGTGAAAATATTGCCTCATTGTCCTTTGTTTTATGATTAAAAGTCTTCTTTATTGAAATGCAGAAGATACCTGAAAGAATACATATTCAATTACTTTTCATATTACTTTACTATGACTTTAAAAATGGGTGGGACAAAGATTAGGAAATTTTACGTATGATGAGGGAGAAGTTTGGGAAAGGTTTAAGAGCACCACAGGAAATATGAAGGCTCTAGCTATTACAAAATGGTAGATTTATTCAGACAAGGAAAGCCTTCAAGATTCTTTACAATACGAAGAATATTCACTAAGTACTGGACCTGCGTAAATGTACAATAGGTCTGCTGAAATTGAAAGTTCTTCAAGGTCAACCACTGCCTCTAGTTTTTCCATTGTTCTCTCTTGCTCTGCTGCATGAAGGGTTCTGTAGTGAGTTAATGCTCAGTAAAGGTCGACTGTCTGAAGGAGGAAAGTTTTTTCCCCTAGGTTTCTCTGCTAGTCTTATGTTGTATTTAACTAGTTATAGTCACTATTTTAAATATATTCTCTACTGCTTTAAGTAATCAGGGTATCTTGTGACCTTGCCTTCCAGATGTGTGAATACTGCTGATAGTCAAGGTGGAGCCGTGAATAGCAGCCTGTGCAATCAGGATGAAGTTCCCCCAGAAACCCAGCCCTGTTCTCTCCTGTGTCCCAGTGAATGTGTCATGTCTGAATGGGGACTTTGGAGCAAATGTCCACAGGTAATTTCTCTCCTTTTGCCAATGCCTTAGCACTCTAGTGCTGTCTTCACTGTTGCTCTCTATGCATTCACAGTGCTGCTCTCTAAAGCATTCTTCTAGTAACATGGGGGGAAATATGTATTTTTTTTTTTTCTGAGAAAGTCAAAGAAAGAAGAAAATGTCTGCAAGTGAAACTGAGCAATTTAAAATGCCAGTGCTTCTTCCAAGGCCTTTATCGTGGGAACATGAACAAGGAAAATGAGCCTATAATGATCTCACTAAGATTTGACTGCATACCCATTGTGAAAGGGGTCTTTTTTAGTACCAAAATGATTCTCATTATAATCTCTTGGTTCTGTTCCATTTTTATGTTGGAATCAATTTTATCTTAGGAACTTGACTCCACTGTGCAGGTTAGCTTCTGTAAGTGACGATCTGTTTTTGCCTTTTGCTGTTTTCCTAAAGATGAGGTGTTTGTTTGCTATGTTTCTACTTCTTCCAAAGCTGACAAAAGTATCTTTTTTCATCTAAGTCTAAAGCATTTACCTTTATTTTCCTTTTTTTAAAAAAGGAAGCATCACAGGAGTATGAGAAAATAAATATTATTCAAGTAACGTAGTTCAACTTAATATTATCAGAAGATAAATTCTGATACTTTAAATTGATATTTCTATGTAAAGATTGAAAAAGAAAAATGGGGATTAATAACATGTTATATGGGGTTCAAACATTAGGAAGGAAAAATTAGGGTACCTTGGATTCAATTGTAGAAAGATTGTTGAAATCTTTGTATATAAATGGAAAATATATTTAAAATCAGTTCGTATCTTATATTTGGAGATTTAAATTATTGATTTCTCAATAAATATTACAACTTTATCTTTGCTATTTCTATAATTGTTTCTGAAAGAAATTTTCCTTGCTATTTTTTTTTATGTGTTGAGTTGATTTGAGGGCAATACAATATTGATATGAAGAGGCACTAATAAAGAATAACTTGTAGGAATGGAATATTTCTACTACTAAGTCATTTATTTTGCATGTAACTTGAATATAATGAAAGTCATAATTTATTCACCACTTATTTATTTTGCACAAGGCACACATAAGAATGATTTCCTTTTGTTCTTGCACTAATTCTACTAGGTTGGTAGTTTTGTTAGTCCATTGTTCAGGTTAAGAAACTCATGTTTAGAAAGGTTAAGTTGTTTGTACAAAGTTCCATACTTAATAAGTGATGAGCTGGATATAAACTTTATTCTTTCTGATGAAGCCTGAACTTTTGCTCTTATATTCTTGGCTCAGTTATCTTAAAAGAACTGAGGTAGAGAGATATAGACTCAATCTTTTTTCTTTCTTTAAAATGCAATATTTATTTTAAGAACAAAGCAAGTTGTTTTAGCTGTCTGTTTGATTACTCCATAACTGAGTACTATATTCACTCTTTAGAAAGTGTGCTACCACCATCTCTTTGTTATCAATCCATAAAAGACTTAGCAACCTGAAGAAGTTTAATTAAATGTAAGGTCATGATCTTCCTCACCTTTTTCTCTAATTTACTCACAGAAGACTCCATTAAGCTCTGATCATTCTGCAATAAAATCATTGTTCCCTTAAGTAAAAGTATCTGGCCACTGGGATAAATTTTTTTTATTCTAGGAGTATTTTTTGTAAGGTTGTGAAGGCTTAGCATTCTGCATTTTTTTTTTGGAGTTTTTATTTTTTTAAGATTTGTTTTTCAAATATAGTCATTATATTTTTGAAGTGTTTAGAAGTTGGAACTAGAGAAGACACTTTAACTTCCTTTTATGTGTTTAGAGGATGACATAGTTTCTTGTGAAATGAAATGAGAGTTCTTCCTTCAATCACTTATATACCTTCTATTTGCATAATAAAAAACTATGACAATAACAATAATAACTTCAATTGAATATATCTTATGTAACCAACACTGTGCTGGAAACGACATGTAACTCTAAGTTTTATAACAATACTGTGCTATGATCTTATAACACTTGTCCGTGGCCACTCAGGTCTGTCTGATCACAATGGCTTTGCTCTTTCTCAGATGTTATGCTTCTTTTCAGTGTAAATGAAAACTTCAAAATGGAAAAAAAGGGTAATTAGTTAATTAAAGCTCACACGTGATTAATGGCCCTGCTGATAGTCAAGGTGGGGCAGTGGATAGCAGCCTGTGCAACCAGATATGTTGTATAACATTAATTATTAGATATGTTGCGTAACATTAATAAGTTGCAAGATCTTAACTTAGTGTCCCAATATCATAGAACCTTAGTCAATACTAGCAAAGGCAGCAAGCTAAATCATTGTGCCTGAAGTTTAATAGCACCTCAATGTGCATTTCCTATTTAAAAAAACTATTTTTTAAATTATTGTTCTCTATATCATGTGCTCATTTAAGAATTCTAAGTATTTACCATTATTTTACTAAATTATCCTTTGGTAGTCAACAGTGTGACATATGTTAATGGAATCATTTCAGTATGTTTTGTTCTTTTGTTTGTTTTTCCCCCTCCCAGGATACTTCCTTAGAGCCACACACACAAAAGCTTAACATGTAGCTGGGCTTTTTTATGGCTGCATAGTATTCCATCATGTATATATACCACATTTTTTTAATCCAGTCTTCTTTTGATGGACAGTATGGTTGATTCCATGTTCTTGCTATTGTGAACAATGCTGCGATAAACATATGTGTGCAGGTATCTTTTTGGTAGAGTGATTTGAGTTCTTCAGGGTATATTCCCAGTAGGGGGATTGTGGGGTCATATGGGAGGTTGATATTTAGAGCTTTTAGGGATTTTTACTTGGCAGCAACCTGCATGGAACTAGAGTCTGTAATACTGAGTGACCTCTCACAGAAACAAAGATCTGAGTATCACATGTTTTCACTCATATAGCGGACCTTGAACATCCACCATAATACTATAAAAAAAAGACTGACAGTGGTGGGAAACTATGGGGGGAGGAGGGGAAGGGAGGTGAGATTAATGGTAGTCAATATCTGTCTGGGGATGGGGAGACACCCCTTATCAACAAGGGTGCCTGAATGAAACATATTTGTATACCTAACCCTAAACTGTACCCCACAATATCAAAATAAAAAATATCGATATAAAAAAATGAAATACAAATTAAAACCACACTGAGATATCACCTAACTCCAGTCAGGATGGCCATCATAAAAAAAATATATATATATATATATATATATATGTAGCCTGGCTCGGTGGCTCAGCCTGTAATCCCTCGCTTTGTGAGGCTGAGGTGAGTGGATTGCCTGAGCCCAAGGGTTCAAGACCCACCAGGGCAACTTGGTGAGACCTCATCTCTACAACAAATCAAAAAATTAGCCGGGTGTGGTAGCGCACGCCTGTAGTTCCAGCTACTAGGAAGGCTGAGGCAGAAGGATCGCTGGAGCCCAGCAGGTCGAGGCTGCAGTGGCCAGGAGTGGCCACTGCACTCCAGTCTGGGTGACAGAGTGAGACTCCAACTCAAAAAAAAAAAAAGCTTAATATGTTATTCAGTATTATGTGGCAAGTTACTTAAACCTCTGAGTTATAGATTCCTTAACAAGAAATAAGGATCAGGACTGCTGGTGTTTCAGATTGTTTAAGGATTAGAAATAATATAGAGACAGTGAACACCACAGAGTATTACTTAATACAAGATTGTGACAAATATTAACAACAATAAAAATTATAACTGCCCCCACCTTACATTGTTTACAATGTGGTTGGGAAACAGGAGATAGGCAACTTGCATTTTCTAAGCTATTCAGGAAATATCCCTTCCCCTGTGTAAAATAAATTACTTGATCTTACAGAAATAAAATGTCACCTCCATGACTGAAATATGATTATGTCTAATTTAGTAGTAGTCCCGAAAAATAAGGCATCAAAAACATAACTTTGAATGAATGGGTTGCTGACCTGGTAGTAACTGCCAATTGCAAATTATATAGAAAAGCAAACAAGACAAAAGCATTAAAAATTGAATTGGGGCCATTAAAAGCTATATTGGGAGGAAGTGGAGATTGTAAATGAATCGAGCAAAAACAAACACAATTCAAGGAGGAATTTGAAGAAAATGGAAGATCACGTATTTCATGTTCTTCTTTTCTCTTATTCCCATACCACACACATACCTATGTATTTAAATTTATATTGAGATAATTTACTTTTTATACATTATATATAATAATTTATTGTTTTTTACTTCAGCATGCTTTTTTTTAGAATGCTTTAATGTGGAAGGAAGCTGATGGAATTGTGTATACAATAATCTTCCCAATAGTGTTTACCCTTTAAAGGTTTATGTATGTATGTATATAAACACATGAATGTATATAGGTATGTGCACACACATATAAATATATAACATATAAATTTAATAATTCAATATTTATTGCCCAACCCTCTCCTTTATCTATTTTCTTATCCTGACCCTACATATTTCAAAATGTTGTTGACAAGTATTCATAGAATCAAATATTTTCTCAGGAAAGGCTTATCAATTTCTGAATTCAGTTATCTTGGTACATTTGAAACTGTTCAGTGACTGGCATATCTGAAGGAGTATATGGTTGTCTTCATTACTAGTCTTTACAGAAATTGTTCATTGATGACTATCCTTGGAGGCTTGCCAAAGAAATTTCTTAACACTAATATTGATAGGAAGAGGGTCTTGAAAATAAATTTCCAAACTGATATACAGTTTACAGAAGCAAGATTTTGGAAACTTACTCCAGAAAGGGAGCAAAATTATTTGAGCTTTGGTACACCTCCAGCTGAATTCATCAGCCGAATATATACATGAACTGTAGCCAGACATTCCCTCAGACAGTGAGAATTGAGACTCATTAGAGAGTGGTCCAAAAGAAGCCCCACGATGAAATTGTGACCCAAATCTTTGAGTTATCACCAGGACAACCTCTGAAGAAGGTTCACAAAGGAAGACTTTGCAAAGAAGCTACATAGGGCTTAAGTGTAATGGAACCT